TCAACCTTTCACCATCTTCAATAATATAGTATTGCCTAAGACAAAAAAGCAGCTAGGTGGCACAATAGATATAATACTTGTAGTCAGGAAGACTCATCTTCCTAAGTTCAAATCCAGTCTCAGACACTTCACAGTTGTGTGACTGTGGTCAAGTCACTTAACCCTGTTTGCCTCAGTTCCTCATCCATAAAATGAGCTGGAGAAGAAAATGGCAAATCACTCCACTATCTTAGCCAAGAAAAGCCCAAAATGGGTCATCAGGAGTTTAACATGACTGAAATGATTGAATAACACAAAAGAAATGAGTCCATAATGTGCTAGCTTTGCAAAAATGTTTTAATCACTAAGAAGGAATAGAGTTCTGATAAGGATTTTAGGAAACTCTCAGTATACCAAAACTTCCTCCAAAGAGAAACAGTGTTCAGGTACCACGAATACACCCACAGGCACCATTTTATTGAATCTGTATTGTCAGGGACTTTAGATGGATTGGAGGATGAAATGACTGGTATTGGGTTTCAAAGTATAATTCAAATTTTTAATTTTCCTTATTGAAGTCCTGAGTGGATTAGGATATAATCTGTTTTGCAGATTCATTCTTTTACACCCTTTGCGTCCTAACCCTTTCTTGACTAAGAGAAGTATATTTATTTAGTAGGACATTGAGGACTTAGTATTTTCCATAGAGAATTCATTTTGAATGGCCTTCCTGTTATTCCAGATCCTTTAAAGCCTGAGCTTGTCATGAAGGAAGTCTTGCTCAGGTTCCAAATAGAGGATAATCTATTTGTTGTTGTTGTTGTTCAGTTGTTCGGTTGTGTCCAACTCTTTAGGACTTCATGGATCATAGCATGCCAAGTCCTTCTATCCTCTTGAAGTCTATCCAATTTCATGTTTGTTGCTTCCATGACACCATCTATCCATCTTATCTTCTGCTGTCCCCTGAGCTTTGGAGCATGCAGTAAGCCTTCTCTAGTTAAGATAGCTTCCCTATTACCCTGTGAGAATGACTAGTCTATTTGTCAAATATTGATGGAGTATCTACTCTGCCCAACCACTGTGCAAGGGTCTATTTACATACTTATGCTATTCAACCATTCATTTTATTACTAACAATTACATAAATGTACATGAAAAATTATGGCAGGTATGTATCAAATGATGCATTTTAATAATTCTTTTAATGTTCCTACATTTCCTCACCTGGTCATGAGCAGGATTATGTTAAGAAATATATAAAAATTCATATTAAAAATGAAGAAATTTTAGTTAGCCCAGATATAGTGCAATGTCAGCCTTTGGAGATGATCTCAAGATGTCATCCTTTAGTTCATCTGATTCAGAGTATTATTCAATATACAACAAATATTCATTGAGTGCCTCTTATACACGAGGTACTGATTTACATGCCATAGGGAACACAAAGAAGAATATAACAAAGACCCTGCCCTCACCAAGTTTGTGAAGCTTGGATTTCATGCAGTCACAAAGAACGAAAGAACTGCTTGGCCTTCACTAATTCAAGCTAGACTTTTAACATCATTTTAATTTAGATAAGGGAAGAGAAGGTAGCATCAGTAGAAAACCATGGAAGTACTTTTCTTTATCATCAAAGATAGGATACCTGAATAAGTGCTCTTTGAAAAGGTAAATCTGACTGCCATTCCTGAAAAAGGAATACAGGAGAAAGGAAGGGAATAAACATTTATGTGGCAACTGTGTGCCAGGCACTTTGTGAAGTCTTTTTTTTAAAAAAATTATTATCTCGTTGACTGCCTATGTCACAAAGCAAAAGGGAAGACTTCTTTTTCCTTTTCATTCCTCTGTTTAAGATTGCCCTGGCCAACATCAATTGCACAATAACATCAGTAATGCAGTATAATCTAATCCCATTGTAAAGTCATAAAACTCCACTGTTAGTCATTTTTCAGTCAGACGTGACTCTGACTCTTCATGACCCCATTTGGGGTTTTCTTGGTAGAGATATTGTAGTGGTTTGCCATTTCCTTCTTCAGTTCATTTTACAGATCAGGAAACTGAGGTAAATAAGGTTAAGTGACTTGCCCAGGGTCACACAGCTAGTAAGTGTCTAAGGCAGGATTTGAACTCAGGAAGATGACTCTTCCTGACTCCAGGGCCAGCACTCTATCTATTGGGCTGCCTAGCTGCACTTTTGTCTCAGGTCTTACATTTTTGAAGCCCCAAATGGTGAAAGGTTGGGAAAGTGAACAGGAACAGTATAATGTCTTAGAAAGATCACTGGATTTAAAGTCAGGGTACCTAGCTTCCAATCCTGGCTCTGCTCTTTGCCTCCTGTTTTAGTTACCTTGAGCAAGTCACTTCCCATGTCTAAGCATCAGTGTTCTCTTCTGTAAAATAAGGGGGTTGGACTTAATGACCCTTTAAGTTTTCTTCTATCTCTAAATCTATAGTCCTCTGCTATAATGAGAGAAGCTGTATAGTACAGTAGGTGCATAGTAGGCCTTGGATTCAGGAAGACCTCAGAGCCAGGACCACCACTAATAGTGATCGTGTGACTTAGTTAAAGGAGCTAGCATTCATAGAGCACTTTCAAGTTTACGAAGTCCTTTTTCTCATATGATCCTCACAACAACCTTGGGAGGTAGATGCCATTATTACCCCTATCTTAAAGATTAGGAAACTAAGAAAGCTTAAGTGACTTACCCAGGATCATGCAGCTAGTAAGAGGTTAAATCAGGATTTGAATTCAGGTCTTTCTGACTCAAAGTCCAATATTGATTTAATTTATTTAATTCCTCCATTCCTCAAGCAACTCTCTAAGGCAATACTGTTGCCTATCTGAAATTGTAGAATTTCCTGACCACGAGTTCTGTAAACACCAATTAAATAATAAGTCCAGACCAGAAAAAGAAAAAGACCCAGTACAATTTCTGTGGAACTAATTGCCTTTTGTAAAAATACTTCACTAAACAGTATGCTTCTACAGAATTCATTGGTCTTGTTCTACCACATCATATGCACCAGAGGCAATTCTTGGGCCCCCAAAGAAAGGGACTCAATAGGGCCTAGGTGGGATTGCCATTTACTACTTTAAAATCAGACCTTGTGCTTATACTCCAATTTTCCTGCTTGAATGAAATCTCTACCTTTCAACGAACCAATAACTCCATTACTATAGTTCTGAAAATCATAAAAGGACAGGAAATATTAAACTGTGTCAGACTCTGGTTTGGTTTCCTCAAAGTATAGCTTCAATGATTAAAAAAAAAAGTATCAAGCAGCTAGGTAGCATAGTGAAAAATCTTATTCTCGGAGTCAGAAAGAGAAGAGTTCAAATCTGGCCTCAGACACTAGCAAATCACTTAACCTCTGCCTCAATTTCCTTATCTGTAAAAGGGTGGGGATTTTAATAGCACCTACCTCCCGTGATCATTGTAAGGATAAAATGAGATAATGCTGGGTGTCCCAAAAATCTTGGAGCAGTTTTAAGCTATTGGGACTTTTTGCATTATGTTAAAGGTTTTGCAAACTCTGAAGTGCTAAATAAATGTAAATTCTTGTTGTGTAAATGAGATAAATACAGAGTAGATGTAATGTAATGTCTCTAGGAGGACAAGGAAAAGTTGCCTGAAGAAATTAGGATTTGAGATGAGTTTCAAAGGAATCCAGAGAAACTTTGATGTTAGATGGCAGGCTGGGAAGAGTTCAGAGCATTTTAGGCTTAGGTCTGGAGATGGGGTGCCTTGTTCAGGGTATTCTCTGAAACTAAGCATTTCAGACCAGGGTAGCTAGATTATAGAATACATGAAGGAAAGGAAAGTGGGCTCTGTTTCCTTTGGTTGCTGCCAAGATAAAATGAATTTATATATACAAAGGTCTTTGTGAATCTTAAAGAGCTATACAAATTTTAGCTACAATGACCTTTTTTGTCATCATCAAACATTGAGTGAACACCCACCATATGCTAGGTGATGACACAGTAAAGGACTATGCTGGTTTGTGGGCAATCTGTGTTGAATATTGCACTCTTTTTTCTCAGATAAAAGAAAGGGGAACTGTTCCTGTTGCAACAATTTTCTAGTTACTGTCATCACACATCTCAGTGAAACACTGTGAGAAGTCTTCTTGGAATGTTGTCAACTAAAACTCCTGCAACAAGGATAGCTTTTGCACAGGATTTCACGCTGAATAATATAGTAACATCTAGAGATTCCTAACACAGGGAAACAAGTGAGCATGTTTTTTTTTTTTTAAATCACCATGACATGTGCATAACATGCTCCTCAAACAGCTTACCAGAACCTCCTGTTCAACAGGTGCAGTGGAAAATGGGTATGATTGAGGGAGGAAACGTGAAACTCTAAATTTTAAAAAATTAATGTTAAAAATTCTTTTACATGTGACTGGGGAGAAATTAAAATATTAAATAAATAAAGAAAAGGGGTATGATTTAAATTTAAAGGATGTGAGTGTGTATCCTGACTCCACCATTTATTGCCTTTGGGAAAGTCATTTAACCCCTTTGGTTAACCTCAGTTTCCTGATCTACAAAATGAGGGGACTGGACAAGATGACCTTAAGTCAATCAATCAAAAATCAATAAAATTTGTTAAGTACCTACTAATGCCAGTGACTGTTCTCAGTGCTGGGGATACAAAAAGAAACAAAGGATGGTTCTTGCCCTCAAGGAGCTCACAGTCTGGGTCCCTTCTAGTCCTAAATCTAGTGCTCCATGATTTTTTACTACAAGCTTACAGCTGACAAAGTGTTTTCCTCCTTCACAAAACTCAGCCTGTACCTAAAACTTTTGCATTAGAATGGGCACCTCATAAATACAGTATCTCTTTAATCTCTGAATTTTTAAAGGCCATACTGGGGCTTGAATTTCTCAGCAATAAATAATCACCCGGGATGCTTAAAAGAGATGAATAGAAAAACAACTGAAAATACATCAAAAGAAAATTAGGGGAATGGCCCTTTTGAGAGAATACAACAAAAATGGCGTCTTGTTAGCTTACCTTGCTCTTCTCCACTAATGTTTTCTAAAGATCCAGAAGCCCGGTTCTCAAAGCCATGTTGAAGATTCTGCTTCAGCTGTTCAAGATGGCTGTCTTCCTCAAGAACAGGAGAAAGCCTCGGTGGCTGCTTTGGGTTATCACAGCTAGGATGGGGCTGTTGGGATGCTATGAAACCAGAGTCCCCCAGGGGGCTTTGTTTCAGGTCCCAGAGATCAGTATTATAATTTCCCATAGGGAATTGGTTAGTTTCAAGCAATACGGATTCCATGTCACTCTGGCTCTGAGCATAGTCTTGTTTTTCTCCGTCTTCCAAATCACTCTCCTGAACATCACCATCATTCATCTCTGGGTCCAGCTCACCATTTAACTGAGGGTTCTGCTTACTTAAATTAAGCAAGGAAGCAGACAAGGTATCTCCAACTTGCTGAACAGCTTCATATATCCGTGACATCCAAGAAGAAAGAGGCTGGAAGAAGTTCTGGGCATCTTGAGAAGCCATGGTCAACACCATGACCTGACGACTACAAATTCCAGAGGTTCAGTTTTGCTGGTATGCCGTGAGCTATAGAATAAGCATTATAAGAAATTAAATTTGATGTGTCTTGAAGATTATAAATATTTCACCACCCAGCTGATATGGAAGGAAAAGAATATTTCCATCTAATCAATAACACAACCATGAAGCCATCACCAGACACCCCCAAATTAATGCCAAATTATGCATTTGCAGGAAGAAGGGTAGATCACCATTGAAATCTTGAAATAGCTAGTTGGAAACCATTTCACAGGAGTCTAAATGGAGATGATTTCAATGCCTATTCACCTCATCAGCATGTGCAAAACTTGCATTAGCAATAATGGGACCTATTCATGTGGACCAAGAGAAGGAAATCCCCCCATGGACTAGATTTGGCGGTGTGAAAAGGATAAATGAGTCTTCATTAAGAGGCAGCTCAGCATGACATTTTTAAACACAAAAAGATTTGGTGTTCCGTATATGAAATTACAGATCACAGTCAGCAGACTAATAATCATCTTTACTTCATGAGACAAAGATTTAGCCTTTCAAGGAAAACGTATAATCGGTGGGAAATGCCTTTAACAAACTTCAGAGTGGCATTTTTAAAACTGTGGTTTTTTTAGAAAATAGCATGCATGATGGAGGAATTCAAACCTCTGAAATAAACTTCTGCTTATTGTGACAAAGTCAAATACAACACTACAAATCAAGAGACCAGCTTACCCAAATGTATCCTAGTAACAAGTTTTAGAACCGAAAGAGATTTTAGAAACCAACTAATCCAACCATCTCCATTTTCCACATAAAGAAATTGGAACCCAGAGATGGAAAGTAATAGTCCAAGGTTACACAGGTCATCATAAATGGCAGAGCCAAGATGAGAACCCAAGTATTATAGAGCACTGGGCTTAGAAGACTCATCTTCGCAAGTTCAAATCCAACCTCAGACTCTTACTAGCTATGTGACCCTGGGCAAGTCATTTAACCCTGTTTGCCTCAGTTCCTCGTCTGTAAAATGAGCTAGAGAAGGAAATGACAGACCTCTCCAGTATCTTTGCCAAAAAATTCCAAACAGGGTCACAGATATAACTGAAATGATGCCACAGCAAACAACGACAATTCTTACTATAAATACAATCCTCTAAACATAAATCTTATTGGGTCACTTCTTTACTCAAACTTTTTCAGTGAGTAAAATACAAAATCTTCTAGTATAAGCTACACAGGCAATTTGTAGCCTTTGTGTAGCATTTGATATCCTTCACAATATGGTTCTTCTCTATCTTATTTCATATTGCTCTCCTTCCCACTTTCTTTATTCCAGTGAAACTTATCCACTAGCTATTTCTCACACATGATGTATCTCTCACCTTCACATGTTTGGATAGGTGGTCCCACATATCTAGAATATACTCCCTCCTCATCTCTTATGTTTAAATGGTTTCCATTTAGTGGTTCAAAAACACCTTGTGAGTTCCCAATGACGGTTCAAGAGATTCATTCTTAAAATACTTTAATGGAACCTTGAGCAGTAAGTAATTGCAGATTTTTATAAGTAGTATATTAAATTATCCTAGGTGTCAATGATACTTTTTATTGTTGTTGTTCAAATGTTTTAAAGGAACCAAAAATGTTGGGAACTGTTGTTTCAGTAGAATATAAGCTTCTTTAGGGTGGAGAACATTTTATTTTGGTTTCCACATGCCCAGTGCCTTGCACATTGTTCACATTTAACGAATTTTGTTGAACTGAATTATATAACACACTGCCTGCCACAATTAGGTTGTTCCCTTTTTTCTCTCTCTTCTAATCTCCTTAAATCTCTGAAACCTTCCAGGCTTTAAAAATACTTTTCCACAAAGAGGTCTCAGAACTAATCTGTTATAGCTATAAGGCACATCCACTGAAAACTAGGACAGCAATAGAATTCCGGGAAAAATAATAAGGATGATGATGATGATGATGATAATTACCTTACAACCATCTTTCACATTCATGATCATCTCTTTGGAGCCTTACAATTACCCCCCTAAGACTGGTAGAGCAATCATTACTACCCCTATTTTATGAATGAGGGCACAGATACTCCATTTAAGTAACTTGCCAAAGATAATGCTCATTAATGACTGAGTTGGGAATAGAATAGAGGGCTTCTCATCCCTCCCTCCTCACTTCTCATTCAGTTCTCATTCCACAACTTACATAGAATACAACCTGTATAGACAACTGGTATGAATATCAGATGCTAACCCAAGAACCTTTTAATTTAAATTAAGGGATCTTTAAGTCTTTTGTTAGGGCAAGTGGATGGCACAGTGGATAGAGTACTGGGACTGGAGTCAGGAAGACTTAGCTTTGTGAGTTCAATTCTGGCTCAGACACTCACTAGCTGAGTGACCCTGGGCAACTCACTTAACCCTGTTTGTCTCAGTTTTCTCATCTATAAAATGAGCTGGAGAAGAACGTGGCAAACCACTCCAGTATCTTTGCCAAGAAAACTCCAAATGGGGTCACAACTAAAATGACTGAACAACAACAGAATCTATCATTAAAAACCAAAGTTGATAGGATCATAGTCTAGATGTAGAATAGACCTCAGGATTCGTCTAGTCTAACCTTCTTATTTTTTACTTTACTTATTTTTTTAGTCCAACTCTTACTCCCAAGGGTTTTACAAAACACTAAATGGAATCAACCTTATGGGGGGGGGGGATACAACTCATGCACATGCATAAGTACAAAGTATATGCAAAGTGCTTTTAAGAGGGAAGATCAGGAAAGACCTTGTATAGGAAGTGGTATTTGAATTTTGGTATTTGTATATTCTTTGGAAGAACTTACAGATTCTATAAGACAGAGGTGAAAAGAAAATACATTCCAGATATGTAAGACCACCAATGCAAGGAAACTGGGGTGCACAGAGGTTAAATGTCCTACCCACAGTCACATGGGTAGTAAGTGTCAGGGTCAAAATTCAAATTCAGGGCCTGTGATTCCAAGGTTAGTAGTTTTTCCATGGTACCACACTGTCTTCCTTTTTTGAAAGCTCAAATTATTCACCAATTTTTGGTGAAGGTAGAACTATGGATGCATTAAAGATGTATATGTTACCAATTGTCTGTGTAGGCAGAAAATTTGAACTGGTGCTGGTTTCATGGAAAAGATATTTGCTCCTTTCTTCTCTTCCTGTTGAAATCCTTCTCTTCCTTCTAGACCCATTCAGGTGGCATTTCTGCCATGAAACTTTTAGCTCATTTATAGTTCATCGCTTGTACCATGCTTATTCATATATATATATATATCAAGAAGATCTGGGTTTAAATCTGGCCTCATAACTTAACCAGCTCTGTGACCTTGGGCAAATCACTTAACACTGTTTGCTTCAGTTTCTTCATCTATAAAATGAACTGGAGAAGAAAATTGCAAATCACTCCAGCATCCTTGCCAAGAAAATGCCATACAGGGTCACAAAGAGTTGGACACAGTTGAATGACTCAACAACATCTCCCTGATTCCATCATAAGGTCCTAGGAGTTGTATCATGTTGCTTTCTTTCTATGGCATTCTTACCCCACCCAAAGAAACTTCTGGTCCTCTTCACAGCTGAGAAAGCTGTACCTGAAAAACTTTGAGTGAGTGATCTTGGCCACCCCAGTTTGGCAGGGTTGGTTGAACCTCCAGGGTTTTGCCCTATCATTTGGGGGTTGATATGGGAACTGGATGGGTTTTAGGATAGGAAAGCCTAGGGATGTTTATATTAGCTTTCTTTAATTTATCACTGCCATTGTGATTAAGATTTTATAAAGAATGTTTTTTAAGTGACCTTAAATGAAAATCAGTGGTTACAAGGTGAAAGGGAGTTTTCCCATATATGATGGGGAACTAAACTACAAAGCTTGACTGGATAACGCAGACCCAGCTTCTATACTGGAATGAGAATCTGATTGGCAGTCACAAAGGGACAGACAATGGGTGAGTGGCAGCCAACTGCTCTGAGAGCATAGAGGAAGAACCTTGAGCTTAGAAGTCAGTTGGGGATACAGAAAAAGACAAAATGCAGTCTCTGCCCAAAGGAGCTCATAATCTAACAGGGACGGCAACATGCAAACAATTAGGTACAAACAAGCTATAAACAGAATAAATGGGAAGTAATCAACAGAGAAAAGGCATGAGAAAGGGACTAGGAAAGGCTTCTTGCAGAAGATGGGATTTTAGCTGGGTCATTAATGAAGCTAGGAAGCAGAGAAGAGATGGAGAGTATTCTAGGCATGAGGAGTAAGGTATAAGAAGACTGGAAAGGTAGAAGGGAGACAAGTTGTAAAGGGCTTTGAATGCCAAAAAGAGGGCTTTATATTTGCTCTTGGAGGCAATGAGGAGCCACTGGAGTCTGGGGATAGGGAGGGAAAGGGTTACATGGTGTCAGATCCGCACTTTAGCAAAAAAATAATTTGACAGCTGAGTTGAGAATGAACTGGAGTGGGGAGAGACTTCAAGCAGGGAAACCAACTAGCAGGCTATTGTAATAGTACAGGGGTGAGTTGATGGGGGCCTGCCCCAAGGGTGGTGGCAGTATCAGAGGAGAGAAAGAAGCATAAAGAAAAGATGTTACAAAGGTAAAGTTGGCAGGGCTTGGCAAAAGTTTGCATTTAGAGGGTGAGAGATAGTAGAGTAGAGGATGGCACCTAGGTTGTTACGCCCCAGAGTGCCTGATGGTGCTAGGTGGAGCATATGACTGACAAGGATAAATGCTTGAACAACAGCCACATATTCCAATAGCTGGTCCAGGTACTGGTTATGGAGCCCACTTCCTGTCACATTTGTCTCCCCAGTTTCTAGCACAGTGCCTGTTATATAGTAAGCACCCAATAATTAAACTGAATCTGTGAATATATAATAGAAGACAATGGAAATCTCTAAGAATTAAGGCTGCCAAATTTAGATACTGTAGCAAAGCACCATGACACATTCTACTTCCCTCCCATCTTTCATAATAGATCTCATCAAATTGGCAGATTATACCAACTGCTTGTACTTACTACCAA